ACCGTAGTCACGTGATTGGTTGTTAGCATAGTCAAGTGATGGTTGTTTAGCAATAGTCACGTGATGAACTGATAAGCTAGAAAACTATAGCTGACGCCCCTCGCGTGAAATAAACTGCAATAATTGAACTCTGCTAACTGCTTGAATCAACTTTTCCAGCTTGTTATCGATTATTGGTTTGTAACGGGTTTATTTACTTTGGGGACCGCCAGTCTATAATGTTCAAAAATAGAGATTAAGCGGATGACAAGACTGTTTGCCGACGGAGTAAGCTTGTAATCGGCTTTTATTCAGCTTTTATTCGGCTTGTACGATTTATTGTAACAATTTGCACTCGGCTGTGGCCGTGCAATAATAGTGTAACGCATTTATACGCATTAGATTAGCAATATAATTACGTTTTCATTACCAACATCTTAACATAGTTGTAACAATTTCTCGTTGTAAACTTTGGCATATTCTTCTGGCATTTAATATATCTCCCCATAATCTAACAAGATAAATAAGCGCGTTAGCTGTTTAATGTGTAGTTATTATACTTATAATTATATGATATAACAGAAAGTGTGAGTGTCAGATTACTAACTAGTAGAAAACCCGACCATTTATCTCTCAAGATAGCACTCGGAAAACCTCATTAAATCGAAAATGACAATTAGTCCGGCCCGATTTAGTACGGGGCTTCCCGCTTCGGTAGTCGTACAATTTTTCATACATGTATCACCTGAACAACGGGGTTCCCCTAAGGCTTGTGAAGATCAATAGTAAACAGTCGTAGCAAGCTCCCAAACACACTCTGGATTAGTTTGTATAATTGTTAGTTTGTTTATTAACCGATTTTTGTTGCTGGGTCAAGTCATTTTCGAAAAAAACTCCCCGCCATCCATATTTATCGCTCGAAATAAGCATTACAACTGTAATTTTCCTCGAAAAAAAATCGAAAAAAACCGCCACTCTACGAAGCCGCTAATTGTTGTGAAACAAGCGCGATCACGCATACGCTTAGACCCTGGTTTGTGAACTCAAGAAAGGCAGCATGATACTGCGCGGCGCCAAAATTAAAATTACGCGAAGCAATGCAATCTTAAAATACGTGTCTACCAAAACTTTTGAAAGGTCCCGACATGATAAGAAATTTAAATCACCAAGATCAATATTTAATTATTTTTGAATTGTGAATGCTAATTCTTTTAATTTAATAATTTTGTTTTATTTGTTCGGATTCCTTTAAATTTGATAAAGCTTCTGAAAAGATCACTGCGACAAAAAAATTTGTATCGTTAGAATATTAAAATCAATTCGAGGTATACAATCAAAATTATAACAAGCGATAATATTATTAAAAATTATAAATTTAACAAGATTTTCCATTAACCCCGTCAGTTTTTGTTTATTAAATTCTGGGCTGAATTACCATCGGCGCATAGCTTCGTGTGTGATTTTATCAAATTTGTTATGTTTTCGAAGTTTATAAAACGTACTAGTAACTAAATTGATATGGGCCTAATTCTGCGCGTCGCGAATAAATTGATTCATGACGCCGCGCATAAAGCTTTTTAAATTTCTGTCCCATAGTTAATTTAAAAAATTGAGCGCTACGCAGATGCTTCTTGTCTGCGGATCGTTTTATGCACCAACTGTGTTTGTATTCTTTATCCCTTCTACAAAGAATCTTTACCCCGTTATGTTTTCGATATCAAATTGTTGCTATATTATAATTAATAAGGAATACAATTTAAAAAAAGCTGACTTCATGTACTGTACTGGAGCAGATGGCCACAATCATAGACTTTTGTATAGTAAATCTTAAAATCAAATCAAGGTCATCAAGCTCACTTTGAGTTCAGTGAAACAAATTTTAGTGAAACAAATTTAAAATTTTATCCTTTATTTACAATCAAAAATAATAATATTTAAACTTAATAATATTCACATTTCTATTTAAAATACAATTTAATGAAAAGTCAATAACTGGCCGCCAAAGCGCGCATTCTGAAAACAGAATTAAATTGTTATGATTTCCACCAAGTAGAAATACATTTAAAAACTACCGTGATTTTTTTTAAATAAATTAAATCTTACCAAAATCCAAAGCCATTTGTAAAATGTTACTATTTGATCAAAATAGATCGTCAATATTCTAAATATTTACAATGCAACATTTTTATAATCTACATACAAGCGTACTCCAGCCCCTGCACGCATCCGTTCTTGTGCGGCGGCTGCTCAAGCCGTGCACGCCACGTTAGTATTTTATACTTTTTTTGCTTTCTATGTCAGCTGGCCACGCAAGTAATTATGCCAAAGATACCCTCTACAAACAGAAGTAACTCTACCCCTATTCACGAGCGTGCTAGTTATCTAGTTGGAAGATGCTAGGACACATACCTGAAGAGCATAAGATCACCAGCTCAAGCCTGCTCTGTGCTTTGCTGTCGAGATGGTGTAGTGAAGTTGGTAGACTCGGGCTCACCAGACGTCACCTCCTAGCACCACCTGAAGGTTGACCACTGGAAGCGTTTTCATCTTGCTGTCGGATCGAAGAGATGAAATTCTTCATTGAGAGAACTTGCTAGTAACCGTGGTTATTGGAGTAAATTATTCGATTTTATACTTGAGTACAGTCAATTTGACTTTTGGGACATATAATCTCAAAGGATCACGTTCAGGTTCAAATTATTTTAGGATTGTTGACATTTGTAAGATTGACATGTTTGACAATTGCTTTCTAGTAAATGTCGTGTCAATGTGTACGTCTAAATGTTCATGTTCTGTGTAAACCGAATCCAATTGAGATTAGTGACAAGGATAAGGACCCAAGTGCCTGTACGGCTTTTTCGGACCCCTGTGGACCACCACTCTTCATCCCTTTTAATTTTTATTCCATCCTTATTCCATCCTTATTCCATCCTTATTTCATCCTTATTCCATCTTTATTCCATCCTTATTCCATCCTTATTCCATGTAAGTGTTGCTTCCCAACCAGAAAAGGGTATGTTACAGCGCAGGAAAGAATAAAGACGCACATGCATATGCCGTCTTAATACAACTCCTTATAACTGTGCTTGATGTATATAACACTATCCATTAAAGTTGTAAGATTATCAGCTCCCAGCTTTCTTATCACTGTTCATTTCTTCGTATCTACAATAAGGAATCCTGACCAGGGCGTAACGAAAGGCCATGCTGACCCCGCTGTGCAAGGGGGCGCCGTCTTAGGGGGCGCCCCAAAATCTGTCGTTGAATGTGGCGGACAATTTCGAAAACTTAACTAAAGTACTAGCAAAACAGCGGCGTTTTTGCTCTAGAGTCTAGATACACACTTTTTTAGAGATTTACGCGTAATTCTTTAAAATCACCTATTTGTTCAATTTTTAGGGAGGGGCACCAAAAGGGGAGGGGCGCCAACCAGGGGGTGCGCTTTTTTCGGCAGGGGGGCGCCAACATGCAACGATACGCCTCTGACCATACATGATCACTATCGTCATACTCCTTTGAAATATTACCTAGTTCTACAATTTCACAGGTGTCTTTGACATATTTTGCCAGATTCGTTATTTTACTCAGTCGCACTTCTAGATTTATATGTTTATGTTAAGAAAATCGAAATATATCCAGTAAATATTGAGCAAAAGTAAATAACAGTTTATCCAAGTAGTGTTATGGTCGACTACATTGTGAAGATATCGGACCTAGATTGTGCTTCACTACTTGATGACGTGTTTGAAACAATATGTTCGAAGAACAGCAAGGTGTCAAATAAAAATTGTCAATTTGTTCTTGATAAAAGGCTACCAGAGGTTATGTTCTATTTTTGTGAATCATTTAAACTTGCACCAGAGGCCAGTTTCTTTGCTGTTGAACTATTCCAAGGATTTACCAAGAGATATGTGCAACAGTTTTCAACAGAAGGAAAAGATGCTCGCTTATTGCTCTAAAAGCACTCTTTACATTTTAGTTTGTATCCAGATATCTAGCAAAATGTCAAGTCATTACAAAGCAATCCCTCAACGCAGCATTATGAATCACTTGAATCATATCAATGGCAACAGACAGCGACGTATCACCAAAAGGGATGTGATCATGGCAGAGTTAGAAATATTGCAGACAGTAAATTATGACCTGAACTTCTTACTGCCCCTTGACATAATCGACATTTTGCTCTATTTTGTCCAGAACTTATTTGAAAGAAACCATCCACTAATCATAGCCAAACAGTCCATCACTCAAAGTAGACGGTGCCTCATCAATTCTTGAAATGGTCTATTTGAGGCAGCATCAAATATTGGGTGATTTTGGCAAAGACACCGTTCATCGATCGGACTGTAGTCAATTATTAATGTCAATAGCAGTGATTTGTGTTGCAGTTTTCATAGTTGATGATGATCTTAGTGGGTTATTGCTGTTTTTCATGCTGACAAATGTAATACCCGATCACCTGGGGGGGGGGGGGGGGGAAATTGCTGAAGCTTAGTGTGTGCATTATTGAAAATATTTACAGCCATAATTCTAACCAATGAAATTCAATTACATTTCTAAAGATTTTAAGCAGTTTCAAATAACTAAAAAGTGAAATACAGCAGTTTTTGTAAATATTTAGAGTTAAAGTTTATTCTAATTCAAGTTCAAATTAAAATGATTTACATTAAATAAGTTCTCTCTTTATCATAGATTTGTTATCATGCGTGTTACATTCCGAATTCGCTTATTTTTTATATTTATTGAATTTTGTATTTGTAATTTCCTGAAACAAGTAAGTATTGTTATGTGTGTAAAAAGACTGTTTTACTTATAGTTATAATTGTTATTGATATTTTTGAAAACGAAATTTTTTCCTGTTACAATCGATTTCATCTTAATCTCCAATTGAAAAATTCCAGTCATGGTACATAGCAAAGTCATTTCCGTTTGGCGTTTACTTGATCATACAAAAAGTAATGAATAACTCTCAAACTTGTTACATGTTCCAGTATAATATTGTTTTAATTCTTAATAGAAGGGTGAATCATTCTCGCCAGACTTGTGAAGCGATCTAGCTATTTCATCCCGCATCTAGCCTCTTACAACATGCAGGCTAAAATGTTGGCACAGTAAGTTAAATTAATTAATCAGAACTACGAAATCACGCGTAAATCTTATAAATTGCATAATCAAATTGAATTATAATCCCATAGAAAACCGATTATAATTTTAATAGTTTGTTTCAATCGCTCAGTCAACAGGTGTTTTATTTCAGTACGGAGAGTGTGGAAAAGGAAATACTGAAACTCCGTCGTGAGATAGAGGATTTGGAACAATCTGTGAAGATCGATCCTGAAATTTCCAAGCTCGAAACTCAAAACAATAAGCTCAAATATCAGGTATAACTAAAAAACAGGTCACCTTGATAACCCTTTTATCTGATTTGAGATAACACTGACATATCCGATCTTAGATTCAGGACAACGATATTAAGTTATGATAAGTTAACACCCAGATTACGATTTATTATTGTATCCGATCTAACATATTCATTATTCCCCCTGTCCAGATATCTCACCTACAACAAGCTATAGAAAAGGAAAAGAGTAAGAGGATGATAGCATTCCCAACATTCTTTAGTGAGAAGATAGGAACTGTCGTGTCCAAATTGTACCCTGGTGTTTCTGCTAAGGTAAGGAAAACAACACTTTACCTAAAATCGTTATGTCGACTAATTTGTTACATTTTGTAAAATCTCACCAGTATTTATTTATTAAATTTCCGTTTCTGTTGCAGATAGAGGTTGGGCCGAATAATACGAAAGGTAAGAATGGGGATTACCAATGCAGCTGCTCTTTTTTAATCGCCAAAGAGATGGGTAAAATGGGCCAGAAATCCAATCCTAAAGAGATAGTCTAGCATATGGCGACTTGTGTCACTCTCAACACCCGACCTCACAGATTGGTCACAAACTGATCAAAATTTTCGCTCAAAACCGCGGAAATTTCGGTCAGGGGACGGCAGAAAAGCTCCTCTTCAAAAAACTCCAACACTCTTTTTAAGTACTTCTGATGATTTTGGTGTTTATCAAAGCTTTCTTTGAAAAGCTCTGTTACTGTGTAATTTTGGGCAATAAGCTTAGACAATGTTCCATAATTTCAATATTTTTCCAGATCGCAAACAATTTGTCTCAAAACTTTGAGAATGTTTCGTGTTTGGAGAAGATAGAAGTTACAGGACCCGGGTTCCTAAACCTTTACTTGAAACCAAAGTGAGTTGAGTGACACTATAGAAATAGACTGTGATATTGCCATACTGAACGCTGCGATTCTTCTTATGATAATCGCAAAACGATCGCCTCGATTCATTAATAAATAAATAATAAAATTTTTGCATTTTAATACGATTTGGCGATAAAACCCCATTACATGAAGATTCATTCTAGCCTTCAGCGAATACAGTTCAGCGAGTAAAATTAAAAATGTTTGTAAAGCGCCCCCGATCATGTGTATTCCCCGACAACTAATCCTGGATATTTCAGTTTCGTTAGTTCCCAAATACAAGACCTGCTAGTAAACGGTATCAAGCCTCCGCCCTGCAAGAAGCTGGAGAAAGTATTTGTTGACTTCTCCTCACCCAACATTGCTAAAGAAATGCACGTCGGTCATTTGCGGTCCACTATTATAGGTGATACTGTGTGTAGACTGCTAGAGTTTGTTGGGCATGACGTTCATGTGAGTTTAGATTTGTATCTCTCGTTCAGATTGGAAATAGTCTGATATTCATCTCCTCACTAATTCGTTGATTTCAATAATCTAATCACTTTGTCATCACTTCATCAGTTCACGCCACACACAAATTGCATTCGTTTGTAATTTTGTTGTCTCTTCAGCTTGCTAGGCTAATGAAGTGTTGGAGTGAGAATCATACTAAACAAGAATGTGCAGTGCCCTGAAACAGAGGGATAATTATTTCCCTTTATTATATTAATTTATATGTTTTAATTGTCATTAGAACCGCCTGGCACCGTCGAGCTTTCAATCAATCACTTAATTAATTATCTAATTACAGAGGGTAAATCACCTGGGAGATTGGGGCACACAGTTTGGTATGTTCAGTCCTCCTCCCCCTCCTCAGTCCTCCTCCTCCTCCTCCTCCTCCTATAGCCATGTAACTATCTGGAAAGTTTTAAAAAATTCTATCATTTAGATCTCCAAATATATGCCTTTGTTCCGCTAAAAACCGCCAATTCGGAGATATTTTCTTGTGTTTGAAGTCATATCTCAAGTTCGGCACATAGAAACTCGACCAAAATCACACAGATTATCCGTCTCATAGCCATACAACTATCTAGAAAGTTTAAAGAAAATGTATCAGTAGGATCTCGAAATATGTGCCTGCATTCCGCTAGAAACCGCCAATTTGGAGATATTTTCTTGTGTTCGAAGTCATATCTCAGGTTTGGCACATATAAGGTTGCCCAAAATCGCACAGAATATCCGTCTCATAGTTATACAACTATCTGGAAAGTTTAAAGAAAATTTATCAGTAGGATCTCGAAATATGTGCCTGCATTCCGCTAGAAACCGCCAATTTGGAGATATTTTCTTGTGTTTGAAGTCATATCTCAAGTTTAACATATAAAAATTCTCCCAAACTCTCACACATTATCCGTCATATAGCCATGTAACTATCTGGAAAGTTTAAAGAAAATCTATTTGTCAGATCTTGAGAAAATCAAAAATATATTCTAAGTTATTCACTAAAACACTCTATTTTCGAACTTTTCATTTGGAACAGATTTGTCGAAAGTCCTTCTGCCGGTCACATTATTGGGTTACTGAAGACGTCAGGCGCAATGTCATTTTTGTATGTCACCCAAAATATACCAGTATTAACAGTAATATTACTGCGCGCGCGCATAGTCTGCACGCACGTACTCTGTACTCTGAGCGTCTAACAATAATGAGCATAGAGAGTTTTCCTTCTTCCTTTTTTGTCAACACTCATGTTCCGAAGCTGGTTACTTACCCTTGGAGTAGCAACTCATTATTCACATCCTCAGTTGATATTCACGGAAGAAGAAGAAGTACCCATGATGATAGTAAAAAGTGACGGTGGTTTCACTTATGACACCTCTGACCTCGCAGCAATTAAGTACAGAATGGTAACAAATGAGGCTGACTGGGGTATTTATGTTGTAGACAGTGGTCAGGGACTTCACTTTAAGCTACTTTTCTCTGCAGGTAATTTAGTTTCGTGGAAATTTGATGTTAGGATTTCGATCTAGTAAAATGATGATTCTTGCAAGAATTTATTATCATTATTATCAATATATGTCATTTTCCCGGAAATTTAGGAAAACATGCTTTTCTCCGAATCAAGATTATATTATAAAATTTGTTGGCACCGTCTTAAACAAATTAAATGTCTCCATTCACGCTAGTTTTCCCTAAAATAACGTTACTTCAGCTAAAAAGATAGGACTTATTAAACCTGAACAGAAGTTAAGTCACGTGGGATTCGGTGTAGTGTTGGGAGAAGACAGGAAGAAGTTTAAGACTAGATCTGGAGATACAGTCAAACTCAAAGATCTTCTTGACGAAGGGTACGATATGAAATTATATGTTTTAAAATGATACATGCTTTGGTCGTTTATTTAAGAGGTATAATTTTATCCCAAACAATGCGCTTCTGGAATCTGGAACTATATCTGTTTATTAATATATTCTCTATGGTCAGATTACAGAGGGCAGATAAGAAGATAAGAGAAAAGGAAGAGATAAAGAAGGAGAAGGGCGGTGCGGGTTTGTTATCCGAGGAGGAGATCATATCTTGTAGAGACGCTGTCACGTATGGGTGCATCAAGTTCGCTGATCTTACTTGCACTAGAACTAACGATTATGTGTTCTCTTTTGATAAGATGCTTGATGATAAGGGTATGTATAATGTGTATATTTTATATGCTGTTGATGATATAATAAAAGTATATCATATGATTTAAACGTAATATAATGTTAATTTAAATAGACTTTGACAGGTGTATTATAGTTTTACAATCACAACCATCAAAAGCTAAACCTAGAATTTGATAACACATTTGTGTTCCAATTCATTGAATTTGTGGTGTCTCAGGAAAGACTGCAGTGTACCTTCTGTACGCTCTGACCAGGATCAGATCAATAGCACGCAATGCGGGAAAGTCGCGGGAAGAACTTCTCAAACACGCACAAGAGAATCCTCTCAACTTAGAACACGAAGCAGAGTTAAGGCTCGCTAAGATGCTCCTTCGTTTCGCTGAGGTTAGCTTAATTTGTACAATTACTTGTGACACAAACTGTGTATTTTTCATGAAGATATAAATTATTCATCATTTAATTTTGTCAACAGAATTTGAGAAAACAGATTAACCAAAAACAGATTAACTAAAAATTGCTGAATAGAAAATGCTACAATAAAACATGCTTTTCTTTAGTATTTCTACAACATTTCTGCCATTTTTAGGTGATAGAAGAGATAACAGGAACGTTACAACCGCATACCTTGTGTAATTACTTGTACGAAATATCTACCGCCTTTACTTACTTCTACGATAACTGTTACTGTATTCAAAAGGACAGGTAATGTTAGCCTAGTTATTTAATTTATTTATTTATTTATTTATTTATTTATTTATTTATTTATTTATTTATTTATTTATTTATTTATTTATTTATTTATTTATTTATTTATTTATTTATTTAATTAATTATTTAGTTAGTTATTTTTAGTTAGTTAGTTTTTTAATTAGTTAGTTTTTTAATTAGTTAGTTATTTAATTAGTTAGAACTTATTTAATTAACTTATCTTTCAGGGAGACGGGAGAGATAATAAAAATCCACATGGATAGATTGCTACTTTGTGAAGCAACTGCCCGAGTAATGGAGAAATGCTTCAACTTGTTGGGTATAAAGACTGTCTCTAGGATGTGATTTAGTTCTAGTTTTAGGTTTCTTTTATCTATTCTTAATTTATACGCAGATATGTTTAATTGCTTATTTCAAATAGAAACTGAAAAGTGAAAATCATGTAAATTAAATACTGTTTTCGATATTTACTTGATCATATATTTCTGACGACTTACACCTGAAGCACCATGTGTAATTGTGTATGTGGACATTGCATTATAGATGTGGATTCTGGTGGGGAGATGAGGCATATTGTTTGACACTTTATTCTGTGATTGGATCGGTTAATTGGTTAATTGGTTAATTGGTTAATTGCTGTCATGAGTCAACAGAATCCACATCTATTAATTTTTGAACATAGATAACATTTAACTACTGCAGAAAGTCATGTCTGAAATATGTGGATGATCTAAAGACGCCGAATATGCTATAAATCTTCTATCAAGCTTCTATAAACCCTGTTACTTCGCGACACTATGCCTGCACTACCTCTCGGAAAGTTAGCTATTCTAACTGTCAAACAGGTCGCTAAACCTATCTCAAAGGGTCTGAAAAATGGAGCCAAGAACTCGAGTATCTTAAAAAACTACGTCATACTGCCAGTCGCTCAAGGTAACCGGTCGGTTGTTCAGTCATAAATTAGTAACTTTAGTCATAAATTATACTTATTATTAGAGTTTTAAAATGTATTATATATAGAGTTAAAATGTACTGAATCATTTTCGGACTACTATACCATATGATAATATCAAATGCGATTAACCAAATGTAATTTCACAGGTGTACATTGGGTCGATGTTAAAGTCAAGACTAGATTAATGGGTGCTGCCAACGCTAAGGTAGATCTCCCGGCTCTTCAGATAGATTTACCATCGAGTTAGTTTTAAAACCAATAAACGCGTACCTCTCACTTAAATTGTCATCTCTTTGATCTACGATTGTCCAGGTATACAAACTAAACGAGAAGTTGGCGGTGGAGTACGGAGCTGAATTCATCTCGGAGTTCTTTCTCTACGCTTTTGGGAGTGCGATTCTTCTTTATGAATATAATAGAAGTGCTAATAAAGTAAGCCATCCCATCTTTCACATATCACGTAATCAATTTTTGCCCAATTTCTTAAATCCTCCCCCCTCCGTAATCAGATTTACACATAGCTGATAGCTATTGTGTTAAAATTTCACTAACGTTATCATTTAGAAACCCCTCCTCCCTTCAATACGTAATATGTAAATATTACAGTTAATTCCTCGTTTACCATGAATCATTATTCATTAACATGTGATCTTTTCTTTAGGAAGAACGAAAAGAGAGACAGATAAAAAAGAATACAGAACGGATCGAGGACGAGCTATTGAAACTAAGAATGATTCGTTAGAATCAGTGTTTATAATCGAGGAGCAAGGAGCTGAAATCAGGTTTTTAATTAACCCTTTTTGAAATTTGCAATTCCTCTAAATGAATTCTTAAATCTAAGTTTACGAATGCAACTTTAAAATTAAGTCTCGAGAATTTTCCAGAACAAACTGCCACTTGCAACACCAACATTTTCCAGATCATTACAAAGACAAGTGGGAAATCTTCACACTCAGATAGAGGCACTAAAGGAACAAACCCCGGACCCATCCTAACATCTCCTCCAGCCGTCCCAGTTCCCACATCATTGTTTATTTTGATTGATATTTGAGCTTTGTGTGATTTAGTTCATAGTTTCATGAGAAAACAGCTAATTTTGATTTATATGATCTATTGATATTTACACAAATTTACAGGTTTTATATGTAGATTCTTTAAGTTTAACTTATTCTGTAATTTATTACTATGATAACATTTTGTGTCGTGCTTATTATGAAGTGTAAACTCTGCTTGGTAACTTTGAGATATCCGTCAATATTTAAAGTTCCTGAACTTTTAAATTTCGCCACTTTCGTTAGGATGGTTAACCTTTTGATTACATCTATCTTACAACGTCGGTTGACGAATATTGATTGAATATTTCTGACCACCCCTGCCTATTCTGTACTGATCCATAATTGCCTTAGCTATGATAAAAGCAGCATTAATATTCAATAATCATGGGAAACCTCGACTCTCAAAGTTTTTCACATATTACACTGAAGAAATGCAGCAACAGATAATAAGAGAAACGTTCCTTCTCTTGTCTAAGAGAGAAGATTCAGTCTGTAACTTTCTCGAGGGTAGGTTCATATTTACACTATATTCTTTATTCTTTATTCTTTAAATGCGCCTTTGAAAGCAGTCCGCGCACTCAGTAGCATTCTTATATTTGGTTGATAGTACTGAAATTTAACAAACAAGTGAATTAATTAACTAATACTGTTTGGTTGATGGTTATTAACCCTGTAGGTGGTACCCTAATTGGGGGCAGCGATTTCCGGCTAGTGTACCGACACTACGCTACTCTGTACTTTGTGTTCTGTGTGGATAGCAGTGAGAGCGAACTGGGAATACTCGATCTCATTCAGGTGGGTTATTAGAATTTAAATAGCTAATTGGCAATTTGGTTAATGATGTAGTAAACTTCCACAGTTTTGTGATTTCGACAAAAAATATGTGGTTTTCCACTTTCTACCACGACTGTCGACTACGTTTTACCTTTTACCGTGAATACTTTTTACCTTTTAGACGAATTTTTGATACTAATATATTTTACCTTTTTAACAGTTTTTTCTTGCAGGTATTTGTGGAAACACTAGACCGTTGTTTTGAGAATGTCTGCGAGTTGGATCTGATCTTCCACATGGACAAAGTGCACTATATATTGCAGGTACATCTTATCGGAGCTCTCAGCTGGATTGATATAAAATAATAATTTTATAAGTTGATGGCGACAATCTCCATAATAACGTGCCTATCTTGAATTGTGTTAATGAGATCCTCAAAGATTACAAAACCAGTAAATCATTAACCACCAGTAGTGATAAAAATAGAATGAGTTTTAGGAGCTCATGTTGTAAAATGTAAAATTAATTCCAGGAGATAGTAATGGGGGGAATGGTTGTAGAGACTAATCAGACTGAGATACTAACTCACATTGAGGCCCAACAGAGGATAGAGAAACAGGAAGCAGGTCCGATTATGTTTAATTTAAAGTTGTGAGCTTCATTTCTGGGCGCATGCTTTATTCAGATATAATTTATTTTTAATCAACGTCAGTTTAATTGTTAAATGATAGATTCACCAAAACAAACTGCAGGAATTTTTAAACAGGGTGCAAGTAAGTTTGGTGATTTATGCCTGAGTAATTGTCAAATGTTGTACATTTTGTCTGTAAATTGTAATTGATTTTTAATCGATTACTTTTCGATTGATGTCAAATAAGAACTTTTGGACTACAGGGTGAGTTGAAAATAGTGTGTGGAAAGTAAATGGCTCTAATTTTTTTGACAAATGAAATTTCCACTTAATTTTTGCATATTTAGGTAATGAAAATAGATACTTTTTATAATAATACAATTAAAATACTTAATAATTAATAATTTGCTCAACCCATCGTCCTTTATTAGCTAGGACATATTGATAACGTGTAAGACAATTGTCTATAGCCGACTTGACTGTATTATGGGGGCAGGGGGGTCTTCATGGAAATTTTCTCAAAATAGACTTTTTAGTTAGTTGTTTCTGATAGAGGGGAGTAATATCTATCAGATGCTTTTGATGCCGTGGAAAAATATCGTTCCTAGCCGAAATTATTGCCGGTCAAAGGTCAGCGCGTGTGTGGTAATTGTATTGCGCGAGCGATTTTTGATCGCGTGCCCTGAAAATCGAGTCTAAAAATCTATTTTCTCCTGCATTTTTTGAGCAATCACCCTGAAACTTTCAGTATATGTTCTAAGGATCATTTAGAAGAGATGAGCCAGACAAAATTTTGAGATAGGCCTTTAAAAAATTTGTATTCGATTTTGAAAATCTTGGACCTCGTTTTTTGATGATTTTTTGAGGTCCACGATTTTCAAAATCCAATAAAAATTTTTAAAAGGCCTATCTCAAAATTTTGTCTGGCTCATCTCTTTTAAATGATCCCTAGAACATATCCTGAAAGTTTCAGGGTGATTGCTTGAAAAATGTAGGAGAATATAGATTTTTAGACTCGATTTTCAGGGCACACGATTTGAGAACCCCATTAGGACGAATTTAAGATTTTTTGGAAAACTGCCAAAAATCAACCAAATTATGAGTTAGAATCAAATGAGAGGCAAGAATGAAATATGTAAAGTTTATGAACTGATAGCAATTCACCTTTCAAAATTTGCTCCTTCATAAAAAAAATTATCGATTTTTACTTTCCACACACTATTTTCAACTCACCCTGTATATATTGTAGCTTGTTTGTTTGTACAATAGAAACTCATTGTTTGCCTGTAGAATGTATATTGACCACTTTTCGATTTTAAAATGATGAAAACGATTTGTCGTTACACTTATAGTGCAGCGATTGGCAATGTAATGCTTCAACTATTGTGAGCACTGTCTTTTTGTAAATGATGACGTTTTGTATTTTGTACGTATTAATAAGACATTGTCATTAACATCTTTTTACCGCAAATCAGGATGGTAATGATTATATTTCTGTCTCTACTGACCTCTACTGAAGAGCACTGACCACTACATTTGACTCATGTGACGTAGAGACCTGGGTCCAAATTTGCAATTTTACATCGACAATGGACTGATACTTTACTGACTTCTACTACTGACTACTACGAAAAAACTAGCTAGCACGATGTCTTAGCTACCATATTCACTCTGCTCTACTTGGAATCTCTTTCAGGAATGGGCGGGGCCCCAGCTCGAGCTCTCTCTGCTGCTAAGAGCATGGCTCCAAACGTTAACCTGCCCAAACTAGCTGACTTACAGAATATCTCACTTCCTTCATTTAAAAAACTCTAGGTTTAGTCACGCTAAAAGGGCTAATGTTCTTAAAAGATGAACTTGTTTCGTTTAGAATTATGTTAAACTGTTAGTATTAATGAAATATGACGGTCTATTCTAGTCGGTGTGATTGATTTTGTGGATATGATTCTAATCTTTAGTTAATTGACGATGTCAATTCATGGCAGCTCGGCGCGGCACAGTAGCGCATCTCGCCGATCTAGCTGTGAGAAGCCTCATTGAGTGCGCGGCGCGGCACAGTAACGCATCGCGCTACAAATCTTTAGCTGATGTTGATGAGGTACCATTCACATATTATGTAAGCCAGATGTTGACCTTCTTAAATTCTTAGACCCCCACCATGTAAGCTACTATACAGTATACAGAAATCATAAATCGTTTCCAAACCCCTCCCCCAAGGCTGGCTTGCATAATACGTGATTGAACCATAATTGAAAATTTTATCTCGATTGAATAATATTAGTTCTTGTTTATGACACATGCGAAGTAAATGTAAGAATATTTTTTAACTTTTGTGGTTTCAAATTAATCTATTTCAAGTTGATGGAAACTGTTGTGTGAATATTTTATGTATTTCATAAATCTTTTATTAACTTTCTAAGAGCCAAATGAATAAGTCAAGTCTATAGGAAATATAAGTTAACTTAGAGTTAGAGTTAGAAAAAATCTCAAAAAGATTATTCCCATTGATATACTGGAAAGTGGAAATTAACTATTAGATATTACTCTCTGCGACCTAGCTAGGCCTAGGGTTCCTTAAGATTTGGCCAGGTACTAACAATAACTATTTATTAAGCATACGCACCTATATTCAGTATTACAAAATGTTTGTTTCCTATTTGAGACCCCCCGCCCCCCCCCCCCCCCCCCCTCCTATATATTTTGTTCAATATGATTGATAAATTATTCATACAATATTATAGTGTAAGTACACTGGATGTACAAGATGTAAAACTTGAGTTTCATTTTTAAAGACCTGATAGTTGGTATCAAAGGTAATTTTGGTTAACAAGGCCGCTATGGAGTGATGGGGATGACCTAAAATTGCATAAATGTTGATGGAGAAATTAATGGAAAAACCTTTGAGTAAATTGACATGTTATGCCATTTTAATGCCATGGATTTTGGTCTGAACATTGAATTCAGTTCATATGCAATATGGCTAAAACTTTGTAAAAGATTAGTTTTTCTGAATTTTAAATTCCAAAATGGCATAAATTTCTATGGAGAAAATAGAAAACCTTGGACATTTTTTAAAGAACCAGTTTGCTAGTTCTTAAGTTCTCGTCTTATTCGATTATTATTAAACTAATTATGTTCATTATTCACTGGGGTAGAGCCAGAGGACACGACTACGAGTGCGTTGTATCACGTTGTGACCCCACGGTCGTTTCACTATGGTAGAGTTTCTACGATACAGGGGGAGCCGCGCACTCGTGCGCGGCGGGTCATACAACGTATGACAACGAGTGCGGTAGTTTATGGTTTATATTTATAGCCAGATCTGAGATCATGTGAATGTGATCCGCCCTCGTGTCCACCCTTTTTAGGAAAGTGTTGACGGATGTTACTCTGTACTCATCTAAATTTCTTCGAAGTAGCGCGCGCCGCTTTCTTCTCGATGTTACTGGGCCGCGCTCAGCCTGTCATTCCGCCTAATCTCTATTAGATGATTTACCAACATTAAAGCCTGGGGTCCTCAGGTAATTCTCGATGGCACGTGCTTCGAAGTAGCGCGCGCCAGGCCAGACCATTAACAATGGTCAAGAAAAGTGTCATCCGCCTTTATGTCATCCGTCCTTGTGTCATGTCCATTTCCCCTTTGTCAGTGCTGCACGCCGCCGCCGATGATTTTCCGGCCGCCGCCGCCGTTTTCAAACGACGTACATGGCGTGAACCTGTTTATAGTTATACTTATACGCCAAATGCACCGTTTCGTATTTTTGGTGAGATTAAGAATTTTTTGAACGAAATCTAACATTTCAGACTTGATTCACGATGTCAATCCTTCGCAGCTCGGTGAGGCACAGTGGTGCATCTCGCCGATCTACCGGTTGCGAGAAGCATTATTTGATGCGCGCGCGACCCAGTAGTGCATCGCGCTACAAATTTCAGACCATATTACATATTATTTTCTATATATTTATAATTTCTACACGAGTGGATCAGGCCAGGATACTGTAGCAGGCATCGCTAATGTCGATATTTTTCCTCATATTACGAACTTCTTGTCAGAATTCAAAACTGTTAAAAATTGCTCACCACATGGCATTATTCTAGAGGAAAATTTAATCCGCGAAATCGTACGTGACCTTACGCCGATTACGCCGCCGACGATGTTGACCACGCCGCCGTCTTTTTGGGAAAAAACAGCGGCGTGCAGCACTGCAGTCGATCCTGTACGCTGTAGGATGGAACATTAATATTTGGTGTCTATACTGAACTAAAACTCCCAGATTTGTTCAGAGATTGAGAGGGAAGAGCTAAACGAAGCATAGATGAAGAGTATGACTACGAGTACTACGATTTTTGCTGGGGTAATTCCAATATATTATTATCTGAGGACTCCTCGCCCAGATTTCCATAAACTGGACTTCGACCTCAGTGATTTGGAGGTAACAGACGATTTAATTAATTGATTCATTTAACTATCGAATCATTAAATTGATTGATTTGCAAACTGCCGTAATTTCATAAGTCCAATTTAATCGATTGGTGGCGAAAGGTTGTCAAACAAAAAGCCGACAATTTTCAATCTGGCAGCTGAGTCGTTTTTAGTGCAAGCTTTATAATTCACAACAGTGTGTCAGGGAACATTTAAAAGACGTCCCAAATTGAACGTCTGCAAATCACCTTCTTTTCCTATAAAAACAAACCCATTTTTAGATACTGGAGGATGTAGCAAAAGTAATGACTGACGGTGACGAAGGAACAGCCGCAGTTCTGCTGGACAGTGCGGACCACTGGGCCTGGTGGAGGGACATGGTTAACAGTTAAGAGGCTGAACATGGGCGAGGCTGGCTTATACCACGATATCGCCGTTTTCATGTTCTGTTCGCTCAATTAAACGGAGCAAATATTTTTTCCGTTCACCCTTTTGTAATAAGGCAATAGTTTAACCTTTTGAACGCGAGCATTAATAGGAGCTGATTGTTGTGATTTTATCTCGTCAGTAAGATCTCGAAAGGAAACCTTTTATCGGTTAAAACTAAGAGACATTTGTCAATTGTATTGAAAATGTTTTTTTTGAAAAACTGAATCAATTTATCATAATTGTAATATTTTCTTATCATCGAATAAAAAGTGTTCATTCTGTTTGTACAATATCCGATGAATAGTGATTGAAAAATTTGTAAATTGTCTACGCATGCATAATCATGATGATGACTTAAAGTAATGATATAATTTAAATGAAAAAATCTTTGGGTAAATTAATAAAAGCTGATTGTTGTGATTTTATCTCGTCAGTAAGATCTCGAAAGGAAACCTTTTATCGGTTAAAACTAAGAGACATTTGTCAATTGTATTGAAAATGTTTTTTTAATAAGTATTTACCGTGATATTATTGTGGTTTTTGAATAAAAAGTATTAAGTTGCAAACATTTGCTGCAAACAAATGATGTTTCTGTACCGGCCATGTATATACTACAATACCTCGTTATTCTTCGACTGGCACCTCAAATAAGGTCCTATCTGCAAGTTCGACTTCATGTTCATCTCCTGTGATTTCAAATAGGATAGGTAGGTGGTCTGAACCTAGTTGATCATCATGAGTACGCCACTTGGTTGAGTCTTTAAGGTTTTTGGACACCAGCGTTATATCTGGGGAACTTTTACCTCCGGTTCTTGTGCTTCGTGCGTTGCTGCGGAAAAGTTAAATTGAAGGCTCAGTTAAAAATCAACAGCTCTTTGCAGCGATTTTCGTTAATCATTTACTCAAACCCATTTCAGCAAGTGCTGGTTTTGTTTAAATGAAAATAAATAAATCGATCATATTAGTATTTGCACCTAGGATTTTTTCTCGTGTGTGACTCTTTGTTGTTACAGCAAACTATATCTTTTGATAACATAAATCGTTCGATCTTCTTGCCCCTTTCGTCTTCATTTTGATATGAGTCCCACTGTGTATGGTGTCCATTGAAATCACCTGCAATCACGCAGTTGTTGGACGCATCGATTATGCGATTGATGTTATTTGGATTAAGCTTAGCGGCTGGAGACCAGTAAACATTTGTTATATCAAGCCAATTCCCCTTCTTTTCCTTGATGCGTATACTAAGCGTTTCTACACCTTCAACTATTTTGCCTCCGTTTTCTTTGAAATTTAAATGTTTATTCACGTAGATCAGCAGTCCTCCTGCACCTTTCTTCGACGGTCTATCTTGTCTGACTGCAGAGTATCCGTGTATTGCTGGAGTTATAGAATTTTTAGTAAGCTTGGTTTCTTGGATAAGAACTATATTTACATTTTTATTCTCCATTAGCTTTCTGAGTTCCACAGATTTTGTGTTGATGCCTCTTGCGTTCCATTGTAGAAATGTGAAGTCGGTTTCCGGTTCTTGCAGAGGTACTTCAAAACAAACGTCACATTCCCAAGCATCTTTCTTATGTAAGTCATTGTAAAGTGTGAGTTGCCGTTTTAGCCCCGTGCAAGCTTTATGAAATTTTCCCTTGCATATGTTACAACTGATTCTATCTAGTTCTTTGTATGTTTGCTTTATAATTTCATCACATTCGAGGCATTTGATTGAATGAACATGGCATTTCCATATTCCACCGCGCTTTAGTTCTGTTCGAGTAAAACCGCTGCAAATCTTTTGTTTGTGACAATACGATGGACATCCGGATTGTGCGCAGGAGAGTGATTTCTTGCTGAGCGTCTTTTTAGTGCATCCTTCACATTCCTTACCACGCCAATTTTCGATCCCATTCTCGGTACTCATGCTTTCTCTCTGTTCAGGTTGTTCAGGTTTGATTGAATGAACATGGCATTTCCATATTCCACCGGACTTTAGTTCTGCTGGAGTAAAACCGCTGCAAATCTTTTGTTTGTGACAATACGATGGACATCCGGATTGTGCGCAGGAGAGTGATTTCTTGCTGAGCGTCTTTTTAGTGCATCCTTCACATTCCTTACCACGCCAATTTTCGATCCCATTCTCGGTACTCATGCTCTCTATCTCTGTTCAGGTCAACGCTGTCTGGCCTCCTACTTTAAGAGGGAGGTCTTATCACCATGTCCACCGAATGCAACTCCTGCTAGCTGCATGCCAGGACTCATGCTAATAGTACCTTAAGAACGACAAATTTAGTCTACCATAAATTTAGTCAAACTAAAATTGTTGTAAACAAAATTTCATGAGACTAAATTTTTCGGCGACTAATTTTAAAGGAGACCAAAATTTCAGTATAGCATGAATATTGAATATTATTAAGCTTACATTGTTTATAGGGCTTCATAATATTAATGACATCACTGCTCCTACTGCACAAAACCGTACCAAAGTCCTACCTTATCGGACCTTATTTGGACGGACATTACTTGAACGGACATAATTGTGAACGGACATTAATATGAACGCTAGAAGGCAATCAAAACCATCAAAAATCCAAATTTTTTTCATCTTTTTTTTACGTTTTTTAAATTTTAGCAAATTATTTTTAAATATATTTTTCATACAGTAAGTAAGAAAGGCAGCCTTTAATCAGTAAACATGTTAAAATATGTGTACATCAACATGGTTATTGTCTAATATCACATATCATCTTCATCAAATGGGTTTTAGGGCATTAAATATTCCATGCTTAAAGCATCAGTAATAACCGCTTTTTGGAAACCTTTTTTTATCAAACTACCTCGGTCCTGCATTTCAGTGTAAACTTTTACCACCCATTCGGCGTGAAGTGGTTTTTATCTTAGACAACTTTAGGTTAACCTTAACATCACTTG